TAGTCCAATTGGCTGTAAGACAGATATATGCATTTGACCCACAAAGGAAGCAAGTTTCCTTAGATTTAAAGCAAGAAGTTAAATTTAAGGTACAAAGCTGGTATGTTACTTGAAATTTTGACCTGAGGAAAAAGCATTGAGCAGCCAGTGTAGAAGTTGTAAGGGGCTGTAAAGCTGGGATATTAAAGTTTGGTTTTGAGCATGTTTTGTTTTTTTAGGATAGAAGTGCTGAGGATCTAGAATCATCTAAGATTTTAGGTTACTAAATATGGGAATCTGTAGGCAGTTATTAGGAGTCCCAAAAAGGGAAAGAGCCAGTAAAGATAGGGTCATTTTTTCGTTGTGCATATATAGAAGATAAATGTTGAAAAGCAGAGGAAAATATGAGTAAAAGGAAAAACATATAGTAAATATTGTAAATATTAAGATAATGATTTTAACAAGGAAACACAGCTACTTTTAGAGAATCTGAAGAGAAATTTGAAAATATTTGGAGATATGTAGCCAGGATTTTTGGAAGCAGTTTAAATTGTAGAAAATAATGTACAAGATAATTTAAAACAGGTGTACTATAGTTCTTGAAACATAATTATTTCCCTCTAGTTCTCTATTTTTATCAAAGCTAAATCATAGTAGGACTAATTTATTTGTAAAGGAAGTTTTAGACTTTATATTTTATCTATAAAGTACAGTAAGAATAATTATGTGTCATATAGGCTCTTTTTGAATTGGCTTTGATGGAAATTTTTTATAAGAAACTTTAGATTCTCCATGAGTCTTTGAGTTAGCCAAGGACTTGTTGTAAAGACCTGTATGAGTTGTGTAAAGTCTTCTTTTAGAAGTCCCTAGTAACCTGAGGTTCCTGGGCTCATTAGTAAGTAAGCTTTTTCACTTATCACCAGTTGGAAGCCCCACAGAATTGAAGAGGTATCAGTCCTTTTCAAGGGTTTTTTATTGGCTCTTTATAGATCTTAACTTTTTTACAGCAGTTTATTTTGAAATATTTTTAGTCAAAGCCTCAGTAAAATAAGTATTTTCTATTTTTTTTTTTTTTTTTTTTTAGTTGGAGTCTCACTCTGTTGCCCAGGCTGGAGTGCTCCCAGCCACCACAGCCTTGACCCCTGGGCTCAGGCAATCCTTCCACCTCATCCTTCCAAGTAGCCGGAACTACAGACACACGTTACCATGCCCAGCTAATTTTTTATTGTAGAGACAAGGTCTCACAATGTTGCCCAGGCTGGTCTCAAACCCATGGGCTCAGGCAATCTTTTTGCTTCGGCCTTCCAAAGTACTGGGATTATAGGCTTGACATTTTGTTACAAGAGAAAATAGATTCTTATTGAACTCATGTAAATAGCCACACTGTTACAAATTAATAGTTTTCAAATTTTGGAGAAATCAGGTAGAAAGATATACATTTTAAATTTAGCTTACAAGAGCACATTTTATTTTTGTAAGGCTGTAAATAGTTCCAAGAAAAAGGGATTTTGACTCTGAAAAATATAACAAAATTAGCAATACTTTAAACAAAAGTTATAAAATTATTTGGCTTCTATTAATTTAGTTTATGCAATTAACTCTCATTTTGTCAGCAATCCTATACTGGCAATCTTATGAGAACATAATTTTTAATATGAGTCCTGGAAGATTTTAAAGTTGTCCGCAATTTGGCACTGAAGAGCACTTGCCAGAGTCCTATATCTGATTATAAACTGCGGTGGATAACTGAGGCCTCGGTAGGCAACATTTGAAAAAGATTTCAGATACCATTTTTAGGTTTTACTACAGACGTTGTTTATAAAACAATTTTCCTGATTTACGGGTGTTATTTACCAGCCCTGAGCTATTACAGAGGCAGTTTAGGAGAAAAGGGGTGGGGGCGTGTTCCCTGGAGATTGAAGCCAATTTTTGTCTTTCCCTCCACCACTTGCCCAGAGTGAACTGAGAGTCTGAAACTTTTATATTGGAGAGTCTGTCAAATGTTAAAAGGGTTTAAAAGCATGATGTCATGACACAGAATTATAGGTTATTGCAAAATAGCCATTTATTTAGTCAAAATGATAATTTTAGATATTTTGATAAGTAAAAACCTTGGTTTTTTTGATAGAGCAGATTTATTTCTTTAAACAACAAAAACCAACAAACACAGTAGGAAGCCAACTAAACCCATCTCCTTTTTCTCTCTTTTTCTGTAGTTTACTTAAAAAGTAAATTAAAGCATTTAATTATCCCTTAAAGAAAATGGTAAATTTTATCTGGCATGAGCGTAACATTGAGGTTAATTTTAATACAACCTTATAACCAAATGTATTTAATTCTCATTAGTTTAACTATAAGGTAAGATTTTTAAGAAAAAATTACTTTTGTATTTAAGGCATTTTAAGATTTTAAGAGAATTAAATTTAGTTAAATTGCTTTTTATTCATTTTTAATTGCGAATTGGTTTGATCACTGTTGGAGAACACAAAAGGTTGGCACGAGGCTTCTGGAGAAGTTATGAGGTGTGGGTAATTAGGCGGGAGTGGCCAGTTTTCATGCCTTACCATGCCACCTACATAGACAGTACCCAGTTTTTAAGACTTGATCTGTTTAGCAGAAGTTAGCCAGATGTGGTAACGTGACTAGATTTTTTTCGCCCCAAGACCTTTTAGGAAGCCTCAAGTGGCAAATAATGGTATTGATACAGAGTGGTTGGCTTAACGGCTTAGTTTTTAGAAGGAATGGGTCTGAGGCCTAGTAAAAGAGGAGTTAATTAGAATATTAAAAGAGCTAGTGAAACTTATTAAGGACTAAAGGGGGTAAAATGTCCCTGTCTGGGTTGGTCGCCTGTGCCAGTGAGGGGGATTCAAGACTGGAAAATGGATCCAGAAAAGTTGGTTAGGGCAGAGTATGTAGCCCCCAAATTGACGAAGTTAATTTCATTCCCTGTCACACATCCTATTGTCCAAGGTTCATTAATAGAAATGGAGAATACAAGAGACTGTATAGCTGCTGGGCCCCATCAACTATAACTAAGGAGGTGGCCCTTTTGTTTGTTGGGTTAACCATAGTTAAGAGAATGGGGTTAAAGGCATTTGCTGTTCTCTTGGGTCAGTCCATGCTTGAGGTTTTTGGTTGTGGGATGATCCCTCTGCACTAGGAGGAAAGGGGCAGTCCTGCATTCAGTGTCCTTTGTTTGCACGGTCCAGGCAGCAGTTTTTTGTTTTTGAGACAGTTATGTCTTATATGTCCTCATTAGCCACAATGATGAACAGGTAATGGATGTCTCTTTTGGCTTGAAGGGCAGCCATTTAGGTGTAGGTCGTGCCTGGGGCCTTGGTATGGGCAGGTAACTGACAATAGAAGTTGCCATATATCGGGCTTGCTGCTTGTCTTTTTTTTACTTCCTTTTCAGTCTTTAAGACCTTCTCCTGGTTGTTGGCCTTCAGGTTGTTGGCCTTGAAAGTCGTGTCTAATATCGTGGAAAAAGGGCAAAAACCTTTATCTGGTTTTTGGAGTTTTTTTGTCTAATGTCTAGAGAGGCCTGGATGAATGGCCATAATATCAGAATTAGTAGGGTTTAAAAATTTGGCTGAAGACATCTGGCAATTTTGGTGGAGATTAGGAGTCTAAGAGAGAGTTATAAAAGTCTGAAAAGTCAGACCATTTAGAATAAGTATAACAGAGTTTAGGCTGAAAGAAATTGTTTGGGTCCCAAATTCCATGTAAAGGTCAAGACTCCTGGTTTGGAAGTTGGTAAGAAAGCCATACTTTATTGCACAATAAAATTAGTTTTTTGGGTTTTTTTGAGAGTTTGAGGTTCAAATTTATTCCAAAGTTGTAAAATGCAGCCCAGGGGTGAGTCTGAGGGAATGGAAGGTTTATGTTCCATGGTGGAATGGGGAAAAATCATCCATTAAAGACTCGAATCACAATTCTTCTGAGCGCCCAGAGAAGATGTACTTTCCAAAGTGATTTTCCACCTACTGGAGAGGATCTACCTGCATTTGTGAAGTAACACAAATTTGCTCTCTACAGGGGCATCCCATCTGATAGAGAGGAACTCTAGCCAGGGGCCAAGATACTTGGATCCTAGAGCTAATGATGCTGGACAATCAGACCAGGTCAGAAAAGGGGGTCAAGGGGAGACTCACCGATCTGGCGTTGGCTGGGTTTACTAGATTCAATGGGGTTTGCAGCAGAAAGATTGGCTGTTCTTGCAGGATATTTGAAGAGAGAGAGGGAGGTCTGGGTCTCCCTAAGCATGTGTGTTTGGCTCTAGATAAGCTTCCAGCTGTCAGCCTTGCCACATGTTGAAATTAGGGACCTCTGACCAGGAAAGGCAGGAGAGAGCCTTCCTCCCTTCCAGTCAAGACAGTCAAACTCGTTCACCCTCTGGCCTTCAGACTACACCAGGGAGTGCCCTGGACAGAAACCATCAGTTGCCAGAGTTACCAGAGATTGTCTGCTGAAAGACTGAAAAAGGAAAGCAAACTCCTCTCACCCAACTGGGAGATGGCAGTTGATGCCTTTCCCTGGGACCTTCTGGTCCACTGAGGAGTAGCCCCAGCCAGTAACCATCAGTTGTTTCCAGTTTCAGATGCAGTCCTCTGAGAGTTTTGAGTTGGAAGAGGAAAAGAGAATAGGGCAGAGGTCCCCTTAGGAGAGATTTGCCATAAAAGCCACCAAAATGCCATGTGTGGAAGGCTGGGTATGGCCAGAGTTGTGGGGGGTGAAAATATTCACCAAGACAGTTATGAACTATGAAAGGTAAATTTATTAAAGGGAAGATATGTTGTGAAGGGCACAATGGGCCAAGCAGCAGTGTCTGCTGCTGCAAAGAGGCAGGAGCTAGAGGGGTGTTTTTATAAAAGGTATCCACTGATGCGCCTGTGCCCGGGCTGGGGGCGCCATCGCGCCTGGGCCTTTTCCTCAGTTTTTCCTTTCCCCACCCCACCCCACTGCGGCTCTCTGGTCAGCGCTTGCGCAGAGAACTCAGCGCTGAGATTGTCTAAAGCGACAAGAAAAATGGTGGAAAATTCACCGTCGCCATTGCCAGAAAGAGCGATTTATGGCTTTGTTCTTTTCTTAGGCTCCCAATTTGGCTTCATACTTTATCTCGTGTGGGCTTTTATTCCTGAATCGTGGCTAAACTCATTAGGCTTAACCTACTGGTCTCAAAAATGCCCAGGCCTACACTACTCCTCCAGAAAAAGATAGGAAGTTCCTTCCTAAAGAAGCTGACTATCCCAAGAGAAAGAATCTATGATTTCTGACATTTAGAGGACCCCAGTGAAGCTCATGTCTAGCTCTCTTAGAGTGAGGCTTACCAGTTGGCCAGCCTGCTCACATGTACACAGTGCTTCCAATTAGCTTGGTAGCACTTCATTTTTAAATATGAATGGACTGCTATAAGTAACCAAACATTAAAAGAAAGCCTCTAACATTAAATGTAAAAACCCAAAAGAAAAAAGGGAACTTGAAGGAAATGGAGATAATGCAGGGAACAGAAGAAAACTTTAAAATAAAATTCTCAGCTATTGGGCAGTTGCATTACCTGTCTACCTCCTTATTACTATCGTAATCAGCTATGTACTCTTGTTTGGAATTAACATGATGAGTACCTCTCCACTCAGTTCCATTCATATAATCACAGATAACTATGCAAAAAATCAACAGCAGAAGAAATACCAAGAAGAGGCCATTCCAGCATTATGAGATATTCCTATTAGCAAAGTAAACAAAATGTTCTCTCTTGCAGCCAAAGAACTTTACTCCAAAAACTGAATTGTATGTAGGCATACTAAAACCAAGCATTTATATTTTTGACTTAATAATTTTGATCATAATAAATTTGACCATATTTTATTAGTATTCAGTATTGAGATGTTAAAAAATGTAATTGATCTTCCCTTATGTTCAATTAACATTGTAAATGTTCTGAAATATTAGTTTTTAATAGAAAGAATAAATAAAATACTACATTATCTTAAAAAAAAAAAAGGTATCCACTGTGGGCCAGGGAGCTGTCTTTGGGGGTGGTCTGTAAAACAAAATTTTCAGAGGTTTGTGAAGTGGTTGATTGATGGTGGTATTTTGTTTTTTTAATATATAGTTAACAGCAATGGCTAACTAGCAACAATGAATAACTTTTTTATTTACTTCTAATGTTTTATAACTGGTTTACCAGCTTTTACAGCTCTTTGCTGTTATCAGTAAGTCTCTTTGTAACATCTGCAAAATCTCATCCTGAGATTTCCTTTTACAACTTACCCAATTTACCCAACTGCTGCTGCCCTAACTGGGCCTCATATTCCTCTACAATGCACTGCTTTTGAAGTGTCCCTTCTTTCCACTCCCTACTTTGCAGCCAGTCTTATCCTCTGATCTGGGCTGCCCTATCACAGCTCAGAGGGCACCTTCTTGCGCACATGCAGCTTCACACCTCAGTCCCATGCTGACTCCAGATCATCCTGTAAGGGGCTCTGCCCCGATCCGGGCTCTGTCCTGAGTGGAGAGGCTCTACCCTGTGCCTTGGGATCTACCACAGTCACTGGACTACCTAGCCCTCCTGCTATTCATCTGCTTTCAAGTCTTCATTGATTCTGAGCTGGAAGGGCCACCATTCCCATGTCAACTGGTAAATATGTCCTGGGCTCCTCTAGTTCAGTTTGCCTTGTTCTAGCAAGCTCTGGATCAATATTTGTGGAGGCAGGACTCTCTGTGTCTTGTGGTAGAGAAACTTCTCACATATAAAATTTGGGACCTACAAATGGAGGTTTTAGCCATTGTCAGAAATCCACTGCCTCCTGTATGCCCCACTGCTCTTTTGAGGGTCTTCCTTAACAGGGTGCCCAGCTTGATGTTATAGCCAGAGCCACTTTGGCAACTGTGAGGGGACCCTGGAGGTGGGTAGGGTGGTGTCCTCCTATTCTGGAAAAAAAAAAAATTTTCTACCAAAAAAACTCGGAATTTCCTGTGGGCAAACATAGTATGTGTGCATCCACTACCACTGGAGATTGCCTGTACAAGAGTAAAAACAGATAGGTGACCCCCCTCCAAAAAAAAATCAGGAGTATTGGAAACAGAGGTGGGATGGGCAACACTCAGTCACTATTAGATGCTAATTTTAAAGGAAATAGAAGCCACAGAAAAGAAATCCACTAACTAGAATAAATTAAAATAGTGATGCAGAAAGCCAAGCAAAGGCTGTTTATCTTACTGAAAAGATTGAGGGAGAACTTGAGAATGTGTAATCCCCTGAACCCTGACTCAATAGAGAGAGAAGCAGTCCTAAAGTCCCACTTCATCTCCCAGAGCACAATGGACACCAGATGGAACTCCAAAGAGTAGAATTAGAGCCCAATGCCCCCATTGGACGATTAGTCAATCTGGTAAATAGAATGTGCAACAACCAAGACAAGTAAGAGGAATGTAAGAAAGACAAAGAGAAAGAAGAAAAAAGGACTTTTTAGAAAGTCCACCTGCTGGCTGTCACCCTCCCATAACAGCTGGCTAACACCCAGAATACCTATCCATGGAAAATCACAGTGAGAGACCCCCAACCTCCAGGGAAAGCCCAAAGAATCTAAGAGACTGGGACCAAACCTATGTGCCCTCTGTAAAATGGAAGGGAACAGGAAGAAGGACTGTCCCTTCTGTTTCCAATGAGAAGGAGATGTTTTACCCAAATGTTTCTCAGAGGCTAATGGTTCAAATAAGTAAAGATTGACAGGGCCCAGGGACTTCTCAGTTGGCCCTCCAGGTATCCCCTAAGGAGCTACAGCTGGCACTGACATAGGAAGTAAGTCTGTTAACTTCTCAGTCAACACTAGGGCCTCCTACTTGGTTTTAAAGACCCCCCCCAGAGGTAAACTTACTCACCAGAAATGCAGGACTATGGAAGTATCAGAGACAATGAGAGGTGACTCCTTTAATGAACCCCTAGAATGTAAATTAAATGATAAGATGCTAATCCATTGTTTCCTTTTTCTCTTTTATTCTTGAGTTGGAGTCTCACTGTGTTACCCAGGCTGGAATGTAGTGGCACGCTCACAGCCACCACAGCCTCGACCTGCTAGGCTCAGATGATTCTTCCACCTCAGCCTTCCAAGTAGCTGGAATTATAGGTATGCACCACCACAACTGGCTAATTTTTTGATTTATTGTAGAGATGAGGTCTCACCAAGTTGTCCGGGTTGGTCTCGAATCCATGGGCTCAAGCATTCCTCTCACCTTGGCCTCCCAAAGTGCTGGAATTATAGGCATGAGCCACCGCGCCCAGTCCATTATTTTCTTTATGTTCCTGCGTGTCCTCCTACCCACCCTGGAACAGGATTTCTTACAGAAGCTAGGGGCTACACTTACCTTTAATGAGTCACACCCAGAGATAGGAGTCCCCCTTGAGAAGGGTCACCTAGTAATAATGCTATTAAGTAGAAATGTGTCCAAAATAATAGATCCTGAGGTGTGGGCAGGGCAATTCATGCAAGGCCAGCAACAGTCAGACTGAAACCCAGCTATCCCTGCCCAAGTCAAAGGCAGTCCCTTTTTAGGCAAGAGATACCAAGAGGGATCACCCCAGTGATTTCAGAGCTCCAGAAACAAGAACTCCTGAGAGGCTGCCAGTCACCCTGCAACATCCCCAATCTTCCCATTAAAAAGCTCAGGCTAGAATATAGACTAGTACAGGCCCTCGGAATAGTCACTGAGGCTACAGAGGATATTCACTCTGTGGTGCCCAAGTCATGCACCCTTCTGGCCGCATTACCAGGCAGAGTAGTGTACCGTCCTGGACTTGAAGGATGCCTTTTTGTGCATCCCTCTGGCTACTGAGACTCAGGTTTTTGCCTTTGAATGACAGGAGCCTGATACAAAGCAAAAGCAACAACTCTGCTGGACAGTTACCACAAGGTTTAAGAATTTCCTCAGTTTGTTTGGAGAAGTATTGTCAAGAGACATTCAAGGCCTAACACACTTTGTTTCCCAAGTTACACAAAAGGTAGCTTAAGGCCTAGGAATCACTTGGGAATGCCATACAGAATGGACACTGCAGTCCACAGGAAAGGTAGAGCCAACCACAGCATCAAGAGAGCCCCAGCTAAGCTGTGCCAGAGGACAAAGGAACAGAGGACTGCCCCAAAGGGAGAACTAAGATACAGCACATTTGAACTGATGTATGGGAGATGCATCCCAGAGGCTACAACAGGGTGGGGACTAAGCCCACAAGAATTGAAACAGTTAAAATATGTACTACATATTGGAGAGAGGGCCCATGTTCTTGCAGCTTATGGAAATCAGGCTTCCCTACCATCAACTGTCCTGCTTCTGAACACTTGCATCACTGGGGATTGGATTTACCTAGAAACCTGAAAAGCCCAAACCCCAGAGAGCCAGCTAGTTCTGAAATGGCAGGACCTTATCTGGTGGTTCTAACCACCCATTCTGCCTTGAAACTCCAGGAAGTCACCCTGTGTATTCACCACACTCAAGTGAAATGGGTAGAATGGACTACACCAGCTTGAACCCATTTGATTTAAAACTGCTGTTCTGGAAACCAAAACCAGACTTCCAAATAAAGGAGACCACAACCACCTGGAAAGGGTCATTGTCCCCACTTTATATTGCTAATAGTTGCAGATCTCTTTGGATGCAGCACTTCTTCCTACCAGAAGTGCTGCTGTTGTCATGTCTGGGTTCTACTTTTAGTGGACTTAGAGCTTATTCTGCTGTACCCACAGCCGTCCCTAACCTAGGGATCTGTTTTCTTTTATCCTTGATAATTTTAGGCACTCTAGTCTTGACCTGTAGCCCTTCTGGCATTTCAGTACAAAATTGCGACGCTGGGGTGGCAGTGAGAGTGCCACTGCACTCCAGCCTGGGTGACAGAGTGAGACTCCAACTAAAAAAAAAAATGCATATATTGTGACCACACTCTTTCAGGGCTTTTGATGGTCCCACGGTGTTTCCTGAAGAGGTAGCCTTTACTGAATATCACCTGTGTCCCTAACATAACATGCATCCTACCTCATCCCTTATCCTGTGCAACTTCGTTCCGGTGACCAATGGTCTCTGGGAAGCCAATGCAATAGTGAATTTCTCCTACATTATGGCTGATGGAAACAACCTCTCTGAATGCTGGATATTCCATAGGCATCCCCAGACTCAGACAAGATGTTCTATTCCATACCATTTGTTGTTTTTGAGTTGGAGTCTCACTCTATCGCCCAGGCTGGAATGCAGTGGCATGCTCACAACTAGCACAGCCTCAACCTGCTGGGCTCGGGTGATCTTTCCACCTCAGACTTCCAAGTAGATGGAACTACTGGCATGCGCTACCACACTGAGCTTATTTTTTGATTTATTGTAGAGACGAGGTCTCACTGAGTTGCTCAGGCTGATCTCAAACCCCTGAGCTCAGGCAATCCTCTCACTTTGGCTTCCCAAAGTGCTAGGATTACAGACTTAAGCCACTGCACCTGGACCCATACCCTCTTAACAGCGACACTGACATCGTGATGGTAAGTTGAAGATCCAAAGTCCCACACGAGCCTGTTGCTGTCACTTGAGCTCTTCCCATTTTCTGGGTTGTGTAGACCTCACTCCTAAGGTCAAATATGCCTATAAACCTCCCATTAGGTTTTCAGATTTAAATTGTTCAGGGGAAGGAGAAACATGTGAGAAGTGCTGACCCTCAGTGTCTACTCCCTTACCTTCAA